GAAGCAGCACACCCTCTATGTCACTCTTACCTTATATAATTGTAGCTACCAATACTAGAGATCAAAAGTCAATGCCTATCAGCTTTTGACCTTTGACTTCAGACCTGGCTTTCTCTGCTGCACTACACAACCTGCTTTCAACAATCTCTAGATCCTTGGCTCTATAGTGTACTTGGCCATCACCACTTGTTCTGACATAGCTTTTGCAGTCAGCATCTTATCATGGTTCAGCAAAAACCTTGGATTAAGGCATTGGAAGGCCCTGAAATGCCTCTTCAGATACATAAAGGGGACAATCAATCTAAAATTGACATATTCACCTGATGCTACAAACTCAGAGCTGTTCAAAATGTACACAGATGCAGATCATAGTGGAAATCCAGATAATAAGTGTTCAACCTCAGGATATGTTATCAAGATGAGCACAGGTGCAGTCAGCTGGATAAGCCAGCTATAATCTATAGTAACCTTATTGACCACAGAGGCTGAATATGTGGCTGCCATCTCTGCTGGACAGAAAATTCTGTGGCTGTGAAATCTGTTCACAGAATTTGGTTTCCATCATCTGTTGCCATTCCCACTGCTGATTGACAACTAATCTGCTCTCTCTGTCACTTGCAATTCTGACTATCATGGTCATATCAAACATCTCAACCTCTGCTTCTACTGATTATGAGACAAGGTTGAGCAGAGGCACATACATATTGAACATCTTTGCATAGAAGACATGCTTGCTGACATCTTCACAAAAGTCTTGGGGAAGGAGAAGATGACTCACATGATCAGGCTGTTGGGTCTTGAACTCTGAGAAGTATTGTGTTGAGAGAGAGCATTGCAGGATAACACAAGTACCTGATGTCAATCTTATACAAGCATAGACAGTTTTGTCCTGAGTCAATAGTCAACTGCCTTTAAGCAATTGACTGTCATACTCAGCCTGGCCATTATTCACTGCATGATAATAACCTGCCTGCAACAAGTTGCACCTCTCAAATTTAACCAGGTCCTTGACAAGAATTATTGGTCTCCATACAATTTGTACTGGAGTCACAAACCTCAAGAAGACTTAAGAAGAGATGGCTATATTTGGAGGACCTTTGTTCTCTATAGAGTTGAGTGGAAGTGGTGCATATTACAACTTTCTTTTACTAGCAATACTATGCTAAGTATAGTCCATTACAGAACTGTGACTGACCATGACTGCCAGCTCTGGTCACTAATACTTTTGTTCCATCCTTGTACCAAAATTTCCTCACTCTTTGTTCACTCTTCTTATTGCCTTTCAAGTATGAAATTATGCTAAATCAATGGATTTTGATAAGCAATCCTAATGCTGCCATCTGGTCCACCTCTTAGACCTTGATATAGAGATCATCACTGTTCACACTGGAGGTCCTGCAAGGATAATCAGGGCCTTCAACAAAAGCCTTCAGCTGGTATTCTCTAAGTATCACTTTATAGAACTGGAGACTGAGTGTCACTTGATATGAGAGGATATGAATATTATCATCTTTTATATGTTGCCTTCTTTCTATTAGCTTACTAGAAGTCACTGAGTCCTTTCTTTCAGATCTCATTCCTCTTCCAATCTTATCATGTGTCCTAATTCTCTTTGAGGTCAGAAAGACCTTCTCAGAAGTTCAAGCAGGCTTTTAGTGTACATGGCTCTCTAATTTTCCTTCATTTTTGATTGACTCTGGTATGACAGATCCTTATGCTATAGAAATCTATTATGTCCACAGCATCAGTATGCTCTGTGGTATTCTAATACCTGGCTCAAGGCCTTCAGTTGTGTTCACACATAACTGAAGGAGCAGTCATTTTCCCAAAATAGTATACATGAGATATTAGTGTAGGTGTATATATGTGACTATTTGTGGCTCTTCAACTTGATTTCTTGGAGGAGGCTGGTTTCTGATTATGACCTGATTCTGGAGTGTTCATAATGCTTGCTTTGAGACCACCAGTGCACATCCATTTTCCAAAGTAATGTCTTCTGTCCCCATATATCTATTTGCTCTATTGATAATCACTTTAGCAGCTTGTGATCCAGATCAACAACATACTTTTTATTAGTCCAGTTAGGCATCATTGATCTGTGATGTGATAGAGCAACAATAAGTACCCATTCTTTACTTAGAGTGTAAGAATATTTGATATCAAAAATCTAGACTGAGAATCAACTCATCTTTCTTACAAACTTGATGGATTTGCAACATTCAGTATTAGAGTATAACAGTGTCTGATCTATTATCAAGTCAATTGTGATATGAAATCAGCCTTATATGTTATCATTTGTGAAGAGGTAATAGAGTGAATTCAATTCTAATGTACTTGCATGTTTTGCAGATTTTCATATTCCCAAAGCATGGATCACAAAGAATGACATTGATTCACTGGCATCTACAACATTGTTTGCATGAAGACTTCATAGCAACATGTAGAAATCAACCTGTGAGTTGCAACACTGACCTGCCTCAATGCAAATATGCCTTGGTTTTACACTCTCTTGACTGCATATTCATCTGAGCCTGGAAAATGGGAAATAGTAAATATTGTTAGTCCATTTTGTTTTAAGTACTCATCTTGACTATGTTAGTGCTGTCCAAATTATTACACCAATTGCTATGCAGCTTTGTGGTTTCAATTTAGAATCATATGTGCTCTGTCTTTTTGACTGCTCTGATAATTGCAGACTCATCTCCTGATGAAGCATCTGAGCTTGACAAAAATCAGACCACAAACATACTATCTGAGTCCCAAGAGATAATACTACACCAGCAACATGTTCTACTGAAGATGATGATCCTATCATGCAGGATATCCCATAGTCATTCTTCAGCTTCTATTCAGAATGACTCTTCAAATCATCAATTGTGGAGTCTGCTACAGCCATGATTAATAACCATCCAGCCAGTGATATTGTGCATAATAGTGATGCATTCTCCAGTCCTGATGATTATGAATTTCACTTGCTAGCAAGAATGTCAAGGGTAAGTAAATTAACTGAACTGAACACAAGTTTATAACACATATTTCTGTACTTCTGCAGTGTTATGGAACCTTTCTCACTTCTTATACTGAGGCAGGCCAAGACAAATAGTCAATCAAAGTTCCATTGCAATAGGCTTACACTGAGACAAAACCTGCTATACCATCCTCCCTTGCTGACACACCCTGCACTACTCTCAGTGTTCAGAGCATCTTAGATGAACTGAATGCCACACTTGGAACATCATACACTGATATGCAGGCTACATGTCCAGCCCTATAATTTGCAAATTCTGCATAACACACTAGAATATGCTAGTAACTGAGAATCATTAGCCAGTAGAGGACTATGGCTGAGGCTCCAAGCTGATAGTCATGCTAGTCACCAATACTAAGTCCAAAAGGGACTTTGTAAAATAACATGGCCTAAGGATAAAAATCCTAAGTCAGGTTTGAACTTAGAAAAGTTCAGCACCACACCTTGGAAAATACTAAGTCCAAGTTGGACTTAGAAATGGTACCTCAAATGGGGCCAATTCTACATGCCACTAAGACAAGTATATTCTAAGACAGCTAGAGGTATAATACCATAGCCAGTTGTGGAGTATTGAGTAGAGATAGCATCATCCAGAAGCAGTAAGAAGTGAGACCCAATGATCTGTGGCTAGCACTGTGAGTTTTGACTCAAATACCTAAGTCCAAATTTTCTAGGTATCAGGTGACCTAAGGGACTTAGAATTGAGAGGAATAGAGTGGATAGGACCGGTTGACTGGGCCTGATCAGGCCTGATCGATCAAGCTACTAAGAATAACTCAGAGGATTAAAACTTTGAGTAGACAGAAAGGAGTTAGGTACCCACAGGCACTGTAGGCTTAAAATAAGGCTGTGCGGTGGCCAGGCGGGTCTGGGCAAGCCTAGGGGAGTCCAGGAGTGCCGCCATTCTGGAATAATGGCATGATTCTGCTTTAAACAGGAGAAATATTATTTTGAATGCTTTATTTATAGATTCTGTACCTGTTGTTGGTGTATAAAAGAAGGGAATGGGGGGGAAATAGTAAGCAAGTGACCCACCCCCGCATTCAGGCCTTCTAGCCCACTGTAGCTAGTCCCTGGGACAATGGATTTTGAGTTCTGCTTCAACTTAGTGATTTATTTAAGTTGCTTTGTCACTTAGAGAGAGGATTAGATTGGAATAATAATATATTTTGGGTTTTGGATTAATTTGGGTTCCAAACTAGAAGGGTTTTGGCATCAGAATACAAGTTCTTCGGTTTTGAGGACTGCTAGCCAGCCAAGAGTGCAGCTAGTCAAGCCTAAGTGCTTGATAGACTTAGTATTTGGGTTTTGGAATATTCTAAGTTGGTTTGGAGCATAATTTAGCATTGATTCTAAGTCTTAATTATACTTAAACATTGCTATAAACTACTCTCATGAGTATTGCATCTTTGAAAGCAAGATAGAGTTAAATAACTGTCTTTATTGACTGTTTCTTTGATTTTACTTAAGACTGCAAGAGTGCTTCTATCATACTCAAAACAACCGACCTCAACTGTATTTGGTGATTGTGTATTGAGTGGTTAGGTGTTAGTGTTTGAGAGTTCATTCCTCATTCACTTCTCTTAGTCACTTAGCTGTCACCAAGCACATCAACACTCTGAACATACTGACCCTCTCTTTCATTCTTGAAGACTGCATCAAGAGTGACTATGACTTTGGCACTGCATATGGCCACCTCTGTTAGATATGAGAGAATGATGTTTATCCTGAGCAGCTGCATGAGTGGACCATCTAAGACAGATTATGTAGAAGTGAAGATTAGGATCAGAAGGAGTGATGAGGAGCACTTGTAGAAAACTGGATCATCAATGTGTGATTGCCTCCTTGATGTGTCTGGAATCTGTGTGCTAATCAGGTGGTACTATAGTGGAGTATCAGAGAGAATATTAACAACTGATCTTGGCCAATATCATATATATGGATAGATATAAAGGATCACATTAAAGTTTAAATGGCCATCAATAGAAAGAAATGGCCTGTACTGATCTTAAAAGACACCAGCCTTGACCTCATCTGGATCAAAATGCTGAATCTGGAAGCAGAATACATGTGGTTGGATATCCTCTGTTTGAGACAGGAGGATGAGCCAAGAGATGATCTGCATGTGGAAGAGTGGAAGTTGGACATGCCCATGCTCAGATGCATGTATAACAAGATCCAAGCAAGACCAAAGGTGGTAATCTATCTGAGCAGGCTAGGGCACCCTCTGAGCTTGAAGGCAGGCAATTTACAGTATGATCAGTATTAGTTTAAGCATGCACAGATGCTACAGGACATTGGAGACTCTGATAGGATCATAGCCAGAGATACACCTGATGGACCACTGCACTATGTCAAGCAAATATAAAAGAAGAACAGCTCCAAGGGAGAGATGCTAAAGGGCTTTCACTTGTATCTAAGGTCCTTTGAGCAGGAGTGATGTCAGTATCCACATATGATTCAGGAATCTGTACAGATTCACCTAGATAGAATGGATAAGCAGATAACTGTAAAACCCAGCCATTTGGCCAGTCCTCAATAGCATCAACATGCATAGACACTGAAGAAAATTAGCCATAAGAAGATCATTGAGGGATATACATCCAATGGCCCACTGTATATCAAGCTGATAGATGGAGGAAACTATGATGATGAGAAGATACTAGCAAAGTTTCATGAATAGCTGGAGTTGCTGAACAGTGAATGAGATCTGTTTGGCTCACTGGCAAGCATGCAGAAGCAGGTGTTGACCAACATAGTAGAAAAAGTTGCAGGCCTAGCATTTTGTCTACTGTTCAATGAGTTACTAGCATATGATGAGAATCAGCTGCCTGAGAATGCATGAAATGACCTTACAAATACAATGAATGCATGGCAACAATATGGCCTGTTTTTCCTTTATTCTGAACTGGAAAATGCAAGCAAGAAATGAAGATCATTCTGAGACCAAGTCATGACACAGCATCTACTAGCAGATAGCAGGTCTTTGGTGGAGCTCAACTGTAATGACAAGGCAGATGTTGACTGGTACAATGAATTCTGTATTGGAAAGGCATTTGTACAGAGATTGTCTGCAGGATGCACAGAAGGGAGTGATCAACACAGAGAGTTGATTGTCAAAGATGCATATAGATTGACACATATGTTCACAATCATTGCCATCCACCAGTATCCAATACTTGAAGACATATATGCACTGCTTGATAGCTATAGTGAGCTATTGAAGTCCAATGATGCCATGCAATATTGGGTTGTTGGCTGACTACTGCCAGAGCAGAGGTTTGAGAAACTGTTGGTGTTTAGAATGACTGACTGGAATGAGATTGTGAGGCTGGAGAGGCTGGAGATCATAAAGAAGAGTGTCAAGTCTTATCTTCTTTGACAGATTGTGGCCTCTTAGAGTCTTAGTCTTGTTGTATGCTCACAACACACAATGCTACTGTAGACACTACCATATAATATTACATATCTATCTATTTACCTACTTATCTTTTAGTCATACAGCAGCATTAGAGAGAAAAAAAATATAAACTCTAGGATGTAACTCATCCTCAGTATATCACTATTAGCATCTCATCATTGCATTAGGAAGTTAATTCTGAGCATTTGGAGAATGTTATCAAGAAAGAGACTCTGAGAATTCAAATTCAGAATCTTTGCTGATATCTGATGTCAGTATTTTTTTATCATACCATCTACAGCTGTGCCAGATATGTAGTATCATTATGAAGGAAATAGTGAAATCACAAGCTGCCTTTCTCTATAAATATTTTTTGCTGGAGGTCAGATTATAAAATGAGCAGTAAAGAATTTCTATTTGCTCACAGACTGAGATGTAGTGTATTGGAGGTTACAAGGAATGTGAGAAAGTGATATAGACTTGAATGTGGTTCAAATGGATGACTCTGAAGGCAGCAAAAAATGCCAAATCCTGAACTTCTTCTTTCTTCTTTCACTACCACTATGTCTTCTCCCATTTTCTTGTATCATCTCATTCATGCAAGTCCTCACTGTCAGTATTTCAGATATACTAGAACCTTCAAGATCTTGGCATGATATGTTTTGTTTATAGCCCCTGGAACAAAAGTGCAAGATAGCTCAAGGCTGTTTTTGTAACTCTGGCTGATCCTTTCTCAGAATAATGCAGAATCCTTTCATCCACCATCACAGACATCAAATATACCAACAGCAAATTCCTACTCAAGGCCCTAAAGCCCTTCTGAAGACAGTCATTATGCTCTCTTAGAATCTCACTTGTTTGTATCTACTCTGGCATAGGCAAACTGAGAAGCATGTGTGGTATATTGGTACACTTACTATGAAGAGACTGTATTTCTGCATGTCTTGAAAATATTCAACAACAAAGAAAGATATGATTAGCATAGCAGAGAACACAATAGAGAGACACCATAATTCAATAGTATGTTTTTCTTTTATCTTTTTATAAGCTTTTGTTGAAGATATTATTTAGAAGGTTGGCCACCACTGAAAAGAGACATTTACAGGGCCCAGTGATCTGGATGCAGTTGGTATCATTAATAAAAATTTGAGTATTTCTTCCTGATGTCAGATTCACAAGAGTATAAAGGTGTGCAACCTATCATCAAGTCAATTATACATCATTCTTTGTAAAGGAGTGACAGGATCTCTACATTGCAGATATCAGTATTCCTAAAGACTGCAACATGCAGGATAATATAAATGTGTGAGCAGAGAAGACAGAGAAAGAGAATCTTATTGACAGAAGAATATATGAGTATCTATAAACAAGTGTAAGTATCATAGTCATAAGCACAGTAGGGATATATATACCTCAGTCAGGCATAATGTGGGTGAAGCAACTGAGGCATACAGATAGGAATGGCTGGACTATATATGTGATCAGAAAATGACAGGAGGTGTAAGTATATACAGTTGACTATCTCATAATGCATGATGTTGAAATGCATAATTCTGACTTTGCATATGGATTGGGCTGAAACACAGTTGAGGAGCAAAAAAATAAGCTAGAAATGCATATTGTGTAATGCATATGATTTTAGTTAGGAATATGCATTGTCAGATCCAAAATTATAGTAAGCTGATATAACATTATGCATATATTAGAACAATAAAAAACATAATTTATTTGTATAGACTATAACAAACACAGAAAAAATTATTGTAAAGCAGCACAGCTTATATCTCTATAAACATGCCTCCTGAACCAACACAAAAACCACATGCTAAATCTGGAAATCTATATGAATGCACAAAACAGAAGGAGAAAGTCCCAATATACACATCATCTGCTCAGCCTCCAAAGCAGATCTCCCACCCACACCTCACAACAAGAGACTGACTCATAGTATTCAAACATGTTGATGATCATCCTTCTCATTGACATGCTGACATTGTGGCATATTTTTCAAACTGAAAGGAAGATGCACTGCTCTTTACTCAACCTACTCTTTCATGGAAACTGATATCTTATATAAAAATTGAACAGCATGCAAATGAGAACTCTAATGCACTATCATCCAAAAAGTCTCACATTGTCACCCAACCTAATGTGAAGCATGCTGTTGCATCCTGGTATCAGAACATACAGCTCTGAGATGAGACTGTGACCAGTGCAATACTGATAAAAAAGCAAAATCTGATTAAAAATCTGATGGATATTCTAGAGAATCAGTGTTTGAAAGAAGAGGGATGGTTGAGATCATTCTGCAAGACATGGAAGATTCAGGAGGTTCAGTGGCATAGAGAAGCAGGCTCAGTGAATATAGTGGCAGTAGAAAAAGAATGTATGCATCTTTACAGCATTATGGTGAAATATGCAATGCAGGACAGATGGAATATTGATGAATCTAGTCTTATCATCTTTGCCATCCCAGATCATACCTTGGTATCTGGTCCTATGAGTGGACAGAAACAGGACAAGTTCTACATCATCATGTGTTTTGCTATGAATGCAGATAGGAGTGAGCAGATGCCAGTTGTTTTTATTGGAAAGTCAAAACAACTACAGTGTTTCAAAAAAAAGAGTCTAACAGCAATGGGATTCTATTATCAGAATAATAAGAAGACCTAGATGATGAGTGAAATATTTACAGAGTGAGTGAAGATGTTTGATTTAAAGATGAAGAGGGAGATGTGACAGGTTCTGCTGATCTTGAACAACTTTTGAGAGCATTCTATCACTTATACATTCTATAACACAAAGCTGGAGTTCTTCAAGCCCAACATGACTCCATATGTCCAGCTGCTAGATGCTGATATTATCTACTGCTTCAAGGCATATTATCAGAATGCCATGTGTATCCATGCACTTGATCTTGATGATCTTGGAGAGTCTGAGATCTTCAAGCTTGATCTTCTTGAAGCTATAACTATTGCTCATGATGCTTGGGCAAATGTCAGCAGTAAAATGATAGCAAACTGCTAGAAACACACTGATATAATGCCTGACAATGCATCTGAGTCACAGTCCACCACATCATCCAATGATTTCCAAGACACCTCACTCCTCAAGTCTGCATGGAATCTTGTTCATGACTTTGCCTCAACAGACAAATACATGCTTCCAGGGATCAAACAGGCATTGCAGGATCTGCTTGGAAACCAATATGCTGATGCTGACTGGTATCCTGCTCTTATGGCTGTTATGAATGCAGAGAACAATGTTGGTAAAGCACTGGAGGCAGTCAATCAGTTGGCTCCTTTATCACAGTCAAAAATGAACACACCTTCCACCCAAATTGCTCCCATTCAACAACTCCAGACAGCAGAGATAATGTTGAAGAACCACCTTGTCAAATTGAAACAACAAAATCACATGTTTGGTTTCATTCCAACTATTAAAGAGATGGTTAACCCTATTGCAGAAGAGTATACTGAAGGTCTTGAGATAATACCAACAGATGAGGAGATTGTTGCTGCTATCAAGCATGATATTGCAGTAGAAAATAGGAAAATAACTATCATTGATGATGAGGAGGAAGAGAAGGAAGAGGAGAGTGAGAAAGAACAGATCTTAATAACTATAAGAGAAGGATTTGAGCTTATTCAAAAGCTGAAGGCATTTTGTGTTTCACAAGATGACTGGAGTGGATTAGTATCACAGCTGAGGAAGTTGAGAGGAGTATTATTTAAGGAGATGCATGGAAAGCTGATCCAAAAGCCACTGAGAGCATTTGAGGCAATAATGATGTTGTCACATAAGTCATATGTCACACCACATGCTATTTTGGTTCTGCATAAATCTATAAATGCATATAGTTTTGGTGTCTCTCAACTGTATGCATTGTGAGATAGTCAACTGTAAGTCACAATCTCAGTTGGGCACAATATAAGTGAAATGATTGAGATATATAGACAATGACAGGAGGTGTATATATAGAGCAAGTAAGAATAAGTGATAATCAAAAAGAGTGGGTGATGATCAAAAGGGTAATAGTATGGATATATACATGAATATTCTCTAACAATTGCTTTTGATACTGAGTTGCAATCTTGCAGTATAAATAAAATGAGACACCAATTCATCATCTTCCCAATGACACTATGCCTATATTGATCACTGAGTGTTTGTTGCTAGTTATATGAAAGGATAATATATTCTTTTGATGACTATATAGAATCAAAATCAAAATTCCTCATCAAGAAAATACAAGCCACAGAAACAGTTCTTGTTCACAGGGCTGACACTTTTGAGCCTCTGAGTCAAACTCAACAGAAGCCTTATCCATCCAACCACCCAAGAGATGAAGAAAAGCATGCATTTTACCTTGATCTTAAGCTCAGAAAGGGATATGTGAGTTAACCAGATATAATAACCTTCTCAAGCCTTGGCTCATGATCTAATTATCAATGGGTCTTGTCTGGCACTATGGATAAGAAGTCATACTTTGAGTATGACAAACTGGAAGCACAGTTATCAGAAGAGATAGTAACACTAAGCCCAGTATGCCTACATCATGAATATCTGTATTAATGAGACTCAATCAAGATATTTTTATTCTGTTCTGTTATTTTGTTAAACTTACTCCTGTCTCAAGAAAGACTATGCTGTAAACACATGGACCATTATAAAATGCCTTAGATTCTCAAACATCCTCTGGAAGATTCAAGGTGAAAAAATATCCACCAATTGAAAAAATATCTTGACTCTTGAATACAATCTTCATCTTTATTTTGATGATTTCACTCTATAGTTGGAGCCCACAGTTCATTTCTCCCCCCATCCACCCTCCAATTTTCCAGTAAACTATTCCCTCAGGATATTGAAAATCACTACAAAGTCTGCATGATGAGAGGGGTATTATTTTTTTGAGCTTGTTTAAAGTGCTGCCTTAAGTTGTTGATTTTACATCTACCCAAAAGTCATATTTTCACTATCAGCATTGAAAGAGGATATGCCACATGCTGTCACCTGTCTGACCCTACAGAGTATTTCTCAACCTTATAGAGGATCAATGATCCTTTCAAGGCCAACATATGGAGCTATGATTCTATAGGTTCAGATTTTGAGAATGCCCTGGTAGCATGGTTGTATAAAGTGGGCAAGATTTTGTTTGATGGTAACTCATTAGTGCCTGAAGATTTTATGCTTATGCTTCATTTTCTGACAGGTTCCAATCATACTATTGTTCTTTCTATATGCAACAGAGGCTGGTATGTTTTCAATTCCAAAAAAGAAGACCTAAAAATGTTGTGACTTTCTCTGTGTGGCCTTTCAAAAGCAAAGAGGATATCCTAAAATCAACAATGCCTTTTTGTCCTTGAAAAAGCAGCATGAAAAACTGATTATATTTTCAAACAATAGAAATCTCTCTTTCTTTGTTAAAACAGTAGAAGAACCACAACCATGCTAGCATATTTTTTCAGACTCTGTTTTGTGGAACACATTCAAAGGTCACAATATTTTGGGAGGTATTAAGCAGACCCAAGCAGTGATATATATTAATATAACTGGCAATCATCTAATTCTGACTCTCAGTGTGTAAAACTCTGTTTTCAATATATATGTTATAATATATCTTTCACATGCATTGGAGGAATTGATGCTACACCATGCAAAAAAAAAATAGAGTGATATAGAGTAAAGGTATCTGAATTAGCACTTCTAGTCATTAATACTATGCCTAGGACTTAACAGGCAGGACTCAGAGTCAAACCCAACAGAAGTCTTTAGCTTAACATACCTCTTCAGGCCTATCTTAAATGCCCACTCACTTTTCCCACTCACCAGAATCAAATCCTCAACCATATCCAACCTCCTCTTAAATCTCTCTGATATCCTCTCCTTCCACACAATGCAATCATACATCTACAAACATCTGATCCAGGAATTACACAAGCCCAAGAGCATGATGGAGCAGAGCAGGAGGCAAGTGATAAGCAAGCTTTCCATCATCAATGCATTCCTGGCCAGCACTACAGCTGCCTGCATACACAAGCAGCATAGCAAGCATGACAAAGAAACTCTTGACTGTGCCTTGATCTCACAACCATTCACCCACTGTCACAATCTTGATATCATGCAACAACCCCCACAAGCTCATCCAGCAGTCCTGGCTCAGAAGAATGAGCAGATCTCCTTTCCCTTTCTCTGGTGCACCCTTCCACTTCTTTGAGTCCTTGCTCCTCCACCTGATGATGATCATATTGATCATGCAGGCTGCTATCAGCATCCCAAGCACCCAGAATCCCTATCAGTCCTGTATGGAGCCAAGTAATGCAAGCATGATAACAGTAAGGACCAGGCTGAGGAGGTAGAGCAGTGTTATGAGGACTCCAGTGATGAAGAAGGATTGGAGGAGCCAGTTGTACTAGGATAAAGAGGCATTGCAGAACAGGTTCATGAACACCCTGATGCTGACAAGGTGTTCTATGTGACCAATGCACTGCAGGCAGCTGACAGTGGCAGGGTTCTCAACACAGAAGGCATATCTATTGGTTATCACCTCAGTCATTGAAAATTCACTGTGATTGACTTTTTCCACAGATTACTGTTGGTGCATGCCAGATGCAAGAAGGAGGACATCAAGAGAGGAGGCTGTTCCTATCAGTGCCATTCTCACTGCAACAATGGAAAGATCAGCAAGAGTAATGAGTCCAGCAGCCTTGAGTGTGATATAGTGATGGGAGATGCAGAATTTGTTGAATATGAGTGGAACGTGAAGTGAAAGAGAGGAAGAAAAGAAATGAGAGTGCATGCATGATAATGGTGTAGATAAAGCTGTAAGTAACACATTCAGGCCAAAGTCACACCTTTTCATATATTACAACAATTTACAAAGATGGAAGATGGGGTGATATTATAGATATATATCATTGCTACCACCATTCAAAAGCAGTGCTCATGATCCTCTAGACAATCATGGAAAAATAAGCAACATTGTCCAAGTCACTCTTATTGGCACCTATTTTTTTTTGAGTGGGCATCAAAGCAGGGCCTCAAATGATGATAGGATCACTCCACAGCACTCAGTGATCTTGGCCTCAAAAGAATTAAGAGATCACCCATCTCACTTCTCTCTCTTGCACCTTTCCATCCTTTCATGTTTCTCTGCTTGATGATGACCACATTGATGAACCTGGCTATCACAGGCATTTATAGCATCCCAGATACCCACCAGTCTTGAATAGTGCCCAGTAGCACAAACATAGCAATAGTCAGTATGGGACACAGGAGATAAAGCAGAGCCATGGGAATCTCAGCAACTATAAAGGACTTAATTAGGCAATTGTTTCTGGACAGCATGTTATTGAGGGAGGGGATTGGAGGATACCTGGGCAGTAAACAGGGTGACCGACTGCACCCAATAGTTTGTAGGTATCTGACAGTAGCAGGATTCTCCACATGGAAGATGTAAATGAAACTGATGCCCTATATATTCATCCTATGTTCAGAAGCTTGTAAATGTGAAACATGTATGTTCAGGAAGCTGCATGCTATGATGGCAGTATGTGCTTTGCTGTTCATACATTTATATGTCAAAAACCTCCTCACTGGAAATCTGTGATAATGAGAATTGACATGTGGGTACAGGAATCACTCATCTCAGCAATGATCATCACATAAGAATAATGACCAGCCACCATCAAATGAAATCTTCAAAGGAGAGAGAGGCAAGGAGTGCTATTCTCCAGTTTCAGAGACACTGCATATTTTGGCCTGAACCTCTGAGGGTTGACATGCACATAAACCAAGTTTTAACAAATGTATTCAGAACTCTGAAGTTAAAGAGGCACTGTTACATATGACCACCAACTGGATGTTAAGGTTAGACACATTGATGATTGACTGAAAAGGAAAGTACCTCAGATATATGCTCTTGCCCTCATTATGTTCTAAATTTTCAGTGACAGGATTGCAGCACTTCTATCAGTCCAGGAGATACTGCAGTTGTCTGCATATCATATAATAAGCACTGAATTGTCACTGTCATTAATGTAAACTGTAACTCGACTCCAGTTATCAGCACTTTCTGGACTCCAGTCACATGTAGACTTTTAGCACCTGTCTCTATAATTGCTGGAATTACTATTAGTTATACTGTTGAGAGCAGGTTGTATAGTGCAGTGGAGAAAGCCAGGTCTGGAGTCAAAAGTCAAAAGCTAGTAAGCATTGACTTTTGATCTTCAGTATTAGTAGCTACAATTATATAAGGTAAGAGCAACATAAAGGGTGTGCTACTTCAACACTCTCTCTCGACCAAACATGTCTATGGAGGTATTGAGACAAGTCTGAGTAAGGTAATCATATGTCTGAGCTTCTCTCTTTCTAATCTCTTTGTCAAGATATTGGCTGGCATATTTTCAGTTCATAAGTGGACCACATGGATGCACCCTTTTTCAATCTCATCATGCAGCCAATAGAATCAAAGGTCAAGGTGTTTAACTCAGCTATGATATTCAGAGTTTCAAGCAACTGATAGAGCAGACTCATTGTCAATATAGAGGACTGAGGCATTGGTAAGTGAATAGCCAAACTCTGTGAACAAGTTGCAAAGCCAAAGGATTTCCTGATCAGCAGACATAGCTGAAACATATTCTGCCTCTGTTGTTGAGAGTGTCACAAATGCCTGAAGATGACTCATCTGGCTAATGACTCCAGTACCTATTTTGACAATGAAGCCACTTGTAGAATGCCCACTATATTTGTCACCCCCATGATCTGCATCACAATAAGTCTTGAAGTCAAAGACTGATGAATCTGACTCAGAGTCAGAAGAGTAGACAATATAATAGTCAACTATACCCTTCAGATAGCATAATAGCTGTTTGAAAGCTTCCCAGTGGGCTGTGCCAGGGTTTTTGCTGAATCACAAGAGTATGCTCATAGGATAGGTGACATTGGGCCTGATAGCAATAGCGAGATAGGCCACAGAGCCAAGCACATTCAGATATGAGATTGTCCACATTGTCTCATATTCCTCTGGTGTTTTGAGAGACTGATCTGCTGTAAGTTTTATGTTCGAATCCAAAGGTGTCAAAACAGGGTTGCAGTCAGTCATTCCTGCATGTTGCAGAATATCTAGGATGTATTGGTGCTGAGAGAGAGTGTGTGTTTGGTTGGCTCGATCATACTTGACCTTGACACCAAGGAGGTAAGATGTTAGACTCAAGTCTCGAAGCTTGAAGTGCTTCTTGAGATCATTGATGACCTTTGCAACACTGTCTGGTGTCTTTGTGGTGATAGTCATGTCATCAACAAAGACTGGAATGATGATACACTCACTGTCCCTCTTGTAAACCCAGACACTATGCTTGCATTTTACCCATTCAAAGTCCATGGCATTGGTCAATGTTGCATGCAGCTTTTTGTGCCATTCTCTTTCAGCTTGCTTTAGTCTGTATAGAGACTTGAAGAGGTGCCAAACCCATTCCTTTCCTTTTTTCTCAAAACCTTCTGGCTGCTCCATATACACCTCTTCTGTCAGCTCACCATTGATAAATGCTGATGAGATGTCAACACTCTATAGCTCTAAATCCTCAAGGGCACCAAGTGCTAGGACAGCTCATAGAGCAGCCCATTTTAGTATTGGAGAGAAGGTTTCAGTGTAATCAAAGCCAGGTCATTGTGAGTATCCCTTTGTAACAAGCCTTGCTTTATAGTGCTCAATTGATCTATCAGTGTTGCATTTCACTTTGAATACCCAGCAACTCCCAACTGCCTTTTGATTTGGAGGGCATTTCACCAATTCAAAGATGTTATTTTCAATGAGTGCCTGTATCTCTTGCATAGCAGCTTCATACCAACTTGCAGCTTTCTCTAGAGAACATTTCATAGCTTCATAGAAGGATTTAGGTTCACCATCATATGTGGATGCCTTGTAAGCTGCTTCTGTCATGCTTTCAAATGCAACTTCCAGTCCTTCCTCCATTGTCAGATGCTCTATTGTCTGGCTGGAGAAAGCTATGCCTTCAAGAATAATTTTATCTTCCATAAAGGCTGTGTGTGCTTGATCCTCTGCATCTCTCATGTGATTGTCATTGTTGATATTTCAGCACATTTCATGACCATAACCAGGGTCAGGATCATATAAGCCATCATCATGTATTCTGTATTCATGTTTGCCTAGGTCTGTTGGAGATGGTGGTGATGGTGATAGAGTTAGGTCTGAGAGAGATCCATCAAATGGTGAGCCAGAAGGAGTCATAACATTGTGAAGAAGGGATGATACTGGAGGTGATAGGCTTGGAGAAGATAAGAGGTTTGGTGCTGAAGGATTTTCTGAAGGTGGAAGATCATTGTTGTTAAGATCTCCCTCTTGATCAGGCAGCATAGGAAAATCTGACAGATTTGAGAGTGAAGAAAATAGGTTGCCAAAGGGGTTGGTAGGAGTTTTTGTATTTTCTGGGAACACTCACTCATTAAAAACAACATGGCTTGATATGATAAACTTCTTGGTTACAGGGTTTCAGCACTTTCATGCCTTTGTGCCTGATGGATATCCAATGAATATGCATTTAGTAGTGTGTGGCTGAAGGTCTTGTCGCTTGTTTTTTTTAACATGGACATAAGCTAAGCAGCTAAAGACATGCAAGTTAGAGACATCAGGTTTCTTCTTGTGCCAGCCAGTATATGGTATTGTTTTAGGAAGTGGTGCTATAGGGCAATAGTTGCATATATATACAAATGCAAGCACTGCTAGTCCCCAGAAGGAGGGAGAAAAGTGGGCTTCATAGAGTATAGTAATAGCCCCTTCAGCAATATCATGATTTGCATGTTCTGCAATTCCATTTTGATGAGGCTCATCAGGCTCAGTATGGCATCTTGATATCCCTTCTTCTATGCATAACTGATCAAATTCACAACTCATATACTCTCCTCCACCATCATCTTGCTCCTCTAAGATCTTCAGACCATGAAAATTTTCAGAGTAGGCTTTGTAATGTTTAAATTCAGCCAGAGCCTCACTCTTGTGCTTTAGCAAAGCAATGGCCCAAAAACACAGAGCACCACATATAAAAGTGATCCAGTAATGATGACCTTCTGGTGTAGCAACTGGTATCAGTCTCTTAAGATCAGAGAATACAATTGTGAGAGGGCATGTTGGAAGGAGTGAGGGCCCTCAAGGGATATTATGTTGCTTGTGCTTGCCCATAAGACAGGGTTCACAAATTGGGTCAGGATTGGATTGCATATTGTTCATCTTCATATTTAAGACAAGCTGATTCTCATACATGTCCCAGACAATGTTTATGCTTCTGTGACAGGTTCATTGATGCCATAGAGTCAGGTCAAGTGGACAGATGCTCACAGTATTTGAGGTTACTGGCCTTGTAGTGTGAGTGGTGCTATTAAGATATCCAATGTTATTATCATTGACAGTGGCTGAGAAACAAAGCACTTTATCTTGAAAGAACTGGACAGATGACTCAGCTATGTTGATCTCATATCCCTTATGATGTGTAAGATGGAAGGGTGAAAGCAAGTTATTGCAAAGATCAGGTATATTCAGTACATCCTGGAACTCAACAGCCTCACAGACCTCTCCATTCTTCTCTTTAGGCTCAAACACAACTGTCCCCATGCCTGCTGAATAGATGATTGAACTGTCCACTAACCGAATTAGAATCACATATGGTGTCCAGACATGAAACCAGTCTTGATGATGGCTCATGTGAGATGAAGCATCTGTGTCCATATTCCAGTTAGATGATGCTGAGGACAAGAGATCAATACTTGCTTGGCTGGCAGTCTCTTCCACAATGTTTGACTTCTCTGTCTTTGCCTCTCCCACCTTCTTGTCCAATTTTGTATTCTGACATTTCTGGACATGCTGTATAGCTTGCTCCTTGGCTTTCTTTTTGCTGAAACACTCCTCCTCAGTATGTCCAGAGTTGGTGCACCAGCTGCAGGTGGTATCAGATGGTGCCACATGAGTGGCTTGGACTCTGACAGTGCTTGCTTTGAACAATGTTGCTGAAGTGGTGTCATGAGAGCGGCACTGCACCTCTTTGGTGTGGAAGGCAGCAATGAGTTTGTCGAGACTGAGGGAATAGAGGAGAAGGACTGATGACACAAAATTGTCATAATCAGATGGGAGGGCACAGATGAGAGTCATGGATTGAAGCTCTTTGTCAAGTTGATTGATGGTGAACTTTTCAGAGCAGAGTGCTTTGATGTCTTGTATAGCTTGTGAGACACATCCAATGAGAGTAGAGAGAGACTCTTCATCATCCTTCCGGATGCTGAATAAGGCATTGTAGGCATTGAAATGGGTGCCTGGTTTTTGCTGTTGGTGAATGTCTTTCAGTTTCAACCACATAGCTGTGGGCTTACCCATGAGAAGACTGATATGAGTGCTCTGTGATTCATCAATGCAAAGCCAGAGGTATCCTGCTGCAGATGAATGAGCTTGAAGGTAAGCTTTTGTCTCCTTCTTTTCGAGCTTTGTGGGTTCACTGGGGTCAGCTTGCTCTGGTGGCTCCTTGGTGCCATTGAAGTGGCCAAATAGCCCCTTGATGCACATGTAGGCTTCAAACGAAGGTGCAAAGTGGTTCCAGTTGCCAGCGTGGAGGTTGGGAAAACCACGTTTGGTGGTGTCGACGATGTCTGAGTCATTCATCATGGTGTGAGAAAAAAAGAAGACCGTTGGGGTTAGAGAGTGTGTGGAGGCCCGTGATGGGTGGATGCAACTTCCAAATGGATAGTGATGTCCCTTAGGAAAGTGAGTGAGACTTCAACATCTAGTGAATGGTTCGCGAGAGGGAATGAAAAAATTGCTTGGCTTAGTAAGGCACAGGGCCCATAACCTGTTGAGAGCAGGTTGCGTAGCGCAGTGGAGAAAGCCAGGTCTGGAGTCAAAAGTCAAAAGCTAGTAAGCGTTGACTTTCGATCTCCAGTATTGGTAGCTACGATTATGTAAGGTAAGAGCGACATGGAGGGTGTGCTACTTCAACATATACAGAGTCTGAGTGTCTTTCTGCGGAAATTTTGTGAATGTATACTATACGACAGAGATTGACCAGTATACTTCAGGGACTATGGCTGGGAGATATCCAGGCTAGCATTTCCATCCACAGGGACACTTGGGTTTTCATCTGGGTACTTGGATGGAGATTTCTCAGGAGCAGCTACCGCTTCAGCAGGTTTGATGAGCCCCATGGCAATGGCCCAGTCGACCTTCCCAGTTTGACAAATGAGATCTTCGACCATGTCCAACCTCCGATCATAGTCCTTCGGCTCTCCCTCCCTCCGTATAACACGACCAAACATCTGCAAACACCATGTCGAGTGGTTGCACAAGCTCAATAGACCAGCAGAGCAGAGCAGCAAGCAGGCGATGTGCAGGCTTCCCACCGTCGATGCGTTTCCCGCAAGCGCGGCGGACGCATAGACCAACAGCGTGGCGAACCCTACGGCAAATTCCTCTTCTGCAGTCTCACCCCGCAACCATTGGCCTGCCGTCACCGCCTTGAGATCGTCCACTAATCCTTGTAAACGAATCCAGCGATCCTGACTCAGAAGTATGAGGAGATCGCCCTCGACACCCAGCTCTTTCTTGCCTTTCCATCCTTCCTTGCTTCTCCGCTTGATAACGACCACATTTATAAACCTAGCCAACACAAGCATTCCCAAAACCCCAAATGCCCACCAATCTCTGATAGCGACTAGAAGTGCGAAGACAATGATAGTGAGTATCGGGCAGGTTAGGTACAGCAGCGTGGCGCGAATCCCAGTGACGAAAACGGGGGTGATGTGGGGGGATAAGTCGATCTTGAAGAAACGGTTCGTGAATAGATTCAACCCGCGGGGAAGTTTTGGAGATACATGAGCGGTGACGAGTTGGCCAATACGGCTAATGTGCCGTAGGTAGTTGACGGTAGCAGGATTCTCCACTCGGAAGATGTATCCATTTGTCATTGAGGCGGTGTCTGGCAATTCGCTGTCATTGATTTTGACTGCGGATTGCTGCTGATGCATGCCTGGTGCAAGGACGAGGATGTCGAGGTATGAGGCCGTTCCTGTCAGAGCCATCCTCAATGCGACAGTGGAGAGGTCGGCTAGAGCGATGAGCCCCGCAGATTGGAGGGTGATATGGCCGGAGATAGAGGAGGTACTGAACATAACCAGAGCGTGGTGGATGTTGGGGCAAAGAGAAGGATTTGAAGATACCTAGGCAGCTCATGATGGTGTGTATGCCGCGTGGCCATGTGACGTTGCTAAGTGGTAATGCAGCCTTCCACAAAGAATGAGCCACGAAAAATACCCACCTCGTGTTTCCGGCGTGCCTAATGTTGGATTAGCAAGCAGGAGCTCCGTCATATCCCGCCGGCCAAGCTCGATACCCCTTTATGTCGGGATGGACTATATATATTGAATACGGTCTGTCGAGCACCCTCACCGTGTTTCTGCTTATCGCTATGCTGTGTGAGGTCTACGTTATAGCTAACAGCATACTCTATTAGATGCTACAAATGCGCGTCACTTTCTTAGAGGTTATACGGCCCCGAGAATTACTCTATCCCATCCTTCATACTCAAATGACTTCCGCCATTGCTGCCTTGACTACAGGCCTACCATCAAACATCCCCACACTGAACACGTCTGGTGACAACTGGTCCATCTTCTACCTCCGCTTTTCCACTGGTGTTCAAGCCAAAGGAAAATGGAATCACTTCGATGGATCCAAGCCCAAACCCTCTCTCACTGCACCCACAACAGCTCTCATGGCTGAGCTAGATGAATGGGAGAAAGATGAGGCTGTAGCCAAGAACCTCCTGCTCTCGAAGATCCCTGACTCAGTCGCTATGAAGATTCAGTGTCTTCCCACAGTTGCTGTAGCCTGGTCAAAGATTGAAAAAGAGTTTACCGATAAGAGCGGCTATGCACAAACCGACCTTCGGCAGCAGTTTATGGAGTCGCATTGCCCGGCCAAAGGCAATGTTCGCGAGTTTCTTGACAGTCTGTCAATGAAACGGGAGTCATTAGCTTCCATCGGTGTCATCATCGAGGAGAAGGATTACCGCTCAACGATTCTCACCTCTATCCCTCCCTATCTTGCCAAGCATGCATCGACTCTCCTTACGGCGGCAAAGCTTTTTAGTTCCAACAAGGAAGTCGATCCCGAGAACCTGATCCATGCCATTTCCGAGGAATACGACCGACTGGAGCGCGAGCGAGCCAAGCGTAGTCGGCAGTCTGGAAAGGGAAAGGACTCGGAGCAAGATGAAGCCATGTCTGTTTCATCAAGCTCAGGCAGCAATAAGAAGGGCAAGAAACCTGGCAAGAAATTGTGCTGGGGATGTGGGAAAGAAGGACACTTCAAAAACAAATGCCCCGAGAAGAAGTCATCAGACAATGACAGCAAGGCCTCTGGATCGAAGGGTGAAATAGCCAATGTGGCTGAGGAATCGTCGGATTCGGACTGGGAAGCCGGCGGTGCATTCGGAGTTGATGATGCTAGCAACATGCCATCACTGGCTGCAGTTTCTGAGTCAGATGAGTCTGAAGTTGAGGGCTTATCAGAGGACTCGGAGGATGAAGACGATGGTACCGACCTTTTTTCGGAGGTTGGTGATGAGTCGTGGGATGAGCTGAACAGCGCATTGTCCTCAGATGTTGACTGGAGTGATGTGAACTCCTTTGTTGACAAGCAATCAGATGCCACATCTGGCATGCCGACCTTGGAGGATGTATCTGCTTCTGAAGAGTCAGTCGCAGCCATTACCAATACTGTAAACTCACCCGATGTTCAAATTCGTACTGAACTCTACGACTCCGGCTGTACACACCATATTTCCCCTTACCGCGACGATTTCAACTCGTTCCAGTCTGTCCCGCCCAAGGCATTCCGTGCTGCGAACACTCAAAAATTTTCTGCAGCTGGAAAGGGCGTGATGAGCATTGATGTGCCAAATGGTGCAAATGCGAGCAATCTGCAACTCACCGAGGTCATGTACTCTCCCGAAGTTGGCTATACACTCATTTCAGTTGGCCGACTTGACGATCTTGGTTTTGAGTTGACTTTCGGTGGCGGAAAATGCACCATCCATGCACCAGATGGAAAGGTCGTTGGAGTTGTCCCAAAAGATGATGGTGGCCTATATCGGGTTCGTCATGAGGGAGATTTGGCTGGGACAGCTGAGGAGGTGCTTACTCTAGACCAATTGCACCACCGCATGGGCCACATTTCACCTGAAGTTGCTTGTCGTCTGGTTGAAAAAGGCTTCGTGATCGGAGTAAAGCTCGACAAGTCATCTGGAGAACCATGGTTCTGCAAGTCATGTGTCTATGCTAAAGCTACACGAAAGCCAGTGTCTAAGGCTCGAGGGGGAGAACGTGCAACCGATATTGGAGGTGAAATTCACTCTGATTTATGGGGACCTGCACCTGTAGAATCCCTGCGTAAACACCATTACTTCATCTCTTTCATTGATGACAGCACTCATTGGGCTTACCTTGAATTCTTACGCCAGAAGAGTGAAGCTTTCACAGCATACAAAGCCTATGAAGCTCGCATCCGCACTCAGCATGACCGCCCTGTAAAAATCCTCCATTCAGACCGTGGAGGTGAATACTTC